CCTACTCACAATTGAAGAAGCGGCGTCTCAAGAATTCAATAAGATCAAAGAAGAAATTACAATAATTAGATTCTCATATGGATTTCTTTCAAAAATGCAACAATGCACTGTGGCTGAATTCCGAGTTCTTTTTATCATTGCTTTTCAAGGAAAATGTTAACACCATTCCAACAAGAGCGAGTCATGCATGGATGCCACCTACTTTGTTACAACAATCAAACAAAGAAAGTGACCAACTAGTAAATCAAGGAATCGTTTCATCACCAAATTCAATGTAGGCGTGCAAAGCCTTTTATATCAACAACCAGGCGGAACAAGCGAGGGGAAAGTTCAGACTAGTTATTGACTACAAGCCCTTAAACCAATATCTACAAGATGTCAAATTTCCTTTCCCAAACAAGAAGACACTTCTATAACATCTCCAAGGAGCAACAATATTTTCAAAATTTGACCTCAAATCGGGGTTTTGGCTACTTGGAATTCATCTGGAAGAAAGATACAAGATGGCATTTTCTCTACCAAATCAAGATCTTCAATGGAGTGTTCTGCCTTTCGGTCTAAAGACTGCACTTTCACTATTCCAGCAAGCAAAATTACGAATATTCAAGCCCATCCTCCACACGGCTTTAATATACATCAATGACATTCTCTTGTTCTCTTCAAGTGAAAAAGAACATATTCAGTTTACTCAAGCGGTTTCGAAGCATTATCAAAGAATATAGAATTATGCTCTCAGCCCGAAAGATGATCATTTCCCAGCCCAACATCGAGTTTCTTAGAATGCAGATTACAAATGGACAGATTACACCACAATCTCATCTAGCTACAGTTCTTATCGGTTTTTCGGAAGAAAATCTCATAAAAAGACAAGTTCAACAATTCCTTGGAGTAATCAATTATGTAAGCGACTTTATCCTCCAACTTTCACAGTTGACAAGACCACTCCAGAAAATGTTGATGAAGAATCCACCACAATGGACAAAACGACAAACCAAAGCAGTTAAAAGGCTGAAAACAGAGATACAAAAGCTACCACCTTTATAGATTCCCTCCTCACGGACACATATTCTACAAATTGATGTGAGTGACAAATACTGGGGAGCTATATTATTCGAAGAAATAAATGGAAAATTTCAAATCTATGGATATAAAAGTGGACGCTTTAAAGATGCAGAAATGCATTATCACTCTACATTCAAAGAAATCCTAGCGGTCAAGAAGGCCATCGAGAAGTTCGAGTTCTATCTGATAGGACATAAATTTTGCATCGAAATGGATATGTCTTCTTTTCCAAAGATGTTACAATTCAAGCAAAAGATGGTCACACACCAGTAGTTATTATGATGGAGCGAATGGTTTACAAAGTACGACTCTGAATCCTTCTATTTAAAGGGCAAAAAGAATATTCTTGCAGACACGCTCAGCAGAAACCCACTAAAGGAAATTCATATGATGGCAGGCTCATCCACATCAGGGAAAAGCTGTTACGACTTTGAAGCCAACATGCCCGAAGACGCCCATCAGCTAATCGAGAGAAACACTTTACATGAGCATCTTCAACAAAAAATCTTCCAATATCAGTCCATCATCCTGTCAAAGCACGGCATCAACTGCCATTACATCGCACCAATGGGGATCCACCCGGACTATCCGTTCGCTCACCTCTACATGATTGAAAATTTAAATATGCCAGAAGAAGTCAAATTTTTTCTCCGGTATCTCTGCTCAATTTAGACCATTAGCATTACCTTTGACATAGGATGACTGTATCAATACATCAATGCCCAACAAGGTCAAATAGATTGTCTCTTGACTTTCTTTACATGGTTTGCATCATTAACCATCTAGAGCGGAAAATTAAGAAGATCCGCAAAAGCAATGAGTTTACCATTCAAAAAACTAATAGGTCAAGGAGGTCTTAATCCTTTCTTCAAACCCCATACAATATACTTTTTCCATCGACCTGTTCAAGTCAACATCAAGTCCAACAAGCTTCATGCACTACCCACACTCATCCACCACAACGACTACCGAAGAGGAATTCGTCCAGACTTCAATATCCATGATAACAAGCCATACAAAGACTTCCAAAGACACACTTTTCATCTCAATAGTGCCAGACAAACGTTCCTTGTACCATTCAACCCAAGCTGGATCTACAATTCTGTTGACTACCAAATGAGTCTCGATGAAGATCTACAATATTTCATGGCAAAACAACAAAGCATGGCAAATATTCTGAAGATAATAAAGCAGGATATTCCGGAGATAGTAAAACAAGAACCAACATCTCAATATTCCCCACCAGAATATTTTCAAGATGCACAACTCCCTGATGACACAATGAATATTGATGAAATCGGGAAAATGTTAAACATCGACGTCAATACATAATCACAGGAAAGCTTCGGGGAACCAAAAGAAGAATACGAATGTCCTGGAGATCATTACGGCTGTTGTGACAAGCATATCATCGAGTTCAAAATGGATCACTAAATGAAGTAATTCTAAGTACTCCATTATGTATAATTATTAATAAGCGTGTTTAAATAGGTAAGCAATGATGATGATGTAAGCGATGATGTAATCGTACAAATAATGTAAGCGATGATGTAATCGCACAAATAATGTAGGGATGAGGTAAGCGCTTTCAGCGCACCATTCCTCCCCTATATATATATGTGTGTACCCTCATTATAACAAGCCACCTCATAATTTTTATAAAATATCTCCTCACTCTAAGTTTCTCTCTCAAAAAATGAATATCTAAAAACTTTTTCGTTTCCAGACTTCCTAACATCTTCATAAACTTTTATTACTCTCTAACACCAGGAAGACACCATTGTGCTCCAAATCTATGGTTAAGTATTCTGATTTATTAATACGACTCTTGTCAACACGATATTCGTAGAGAGATAAATTTCTTAACAATGGTTAAGCAAACCAGAGGCCGGTAGTTGCCCAACGCTGCTCCTTACTTGGAAATCATCGCCTTCATCTTCAACACAACTTTAGTCAATAAGATATCTCAGAAGTTCTTCATAGATCTGGTATCAAAAGCAGACAATAATTCACCTAAAAATGGTGTAACAAATATTTTAAATGTCAACCTCTTAAGTAATTTCAACGTAGCCAAACTAGCTATAAAACGATCAACACCAAATCATCAACTCTCTCTAATTACAACAGCATAAGTGATGCAGGATGTTCGTTACATGATTTGGTGTTTGTTTTTTATTTATTTCCCTATTTCTATTAAAATTAAACATAGAATTTTCTTAACTAAGTTGGATTAAGATTACTCTATATTATTAAGTCGGCTAGGGTTTTTGTTTTATCTTTTATTATATATATATGATTAAGTTTTTATAGCGTGAATCTGTATTAATTTTTTTTCTTTATTAATATCTTTTAAATTACTAAAACTATAATATATTTATAAAAAAATTATTTTATATAAAAAAATTAATCTATAATGTGTAGTTTTTTCTTATTTCTTTGATGTACATACATTTGATTTAGAAAATAATTTACTTATTAAATTCTTTATTTAAGATTTATTTGTTCAAATATTTATTTTTTTTATTGCATGTCTCACTAATGTTGTGTATCTATGCATATATTATATGTGATTCATGTTGATTCGCATTTACTTTTGTTGGAATGCTGTAGTGATTGTGTAAACCTGCTTATTGCTTCTCCACCAGGTCTTATACGAATTTAAGCTTATATATCTATTCAGTTTATCATTAAAATCTGTTTTATTTGCAGTTTACTATTTGATAATTTTCGTTTCTAAAAATGTAGGATGGTGCGGAGTCTTCATACTATATTTTTACTATGTGTTTTATTTATGTTTTGATTTGACTAGTTTATCTAGGTATTCCAATCTGAATTTGATTTATAACTTTGTCATACTTTATTATTTAAATGAAAAATTTTAAAAATGTTAGTCATGTATTGTTCATGTTGGCTCAGTTGTAAATAGTAATTATATATAAAAATCACACATAACTACTTATTATATTTCAAGTGTAAAGTTATTTGTATAATGTTTTTCTTTGGTAGTTTTAAAATTAGAAGCAACAATTGTAATAGTATTTGTAAATTTAAATAACATGTTTGATTTAGAAAAGTGTTAGATTCATGACCGCGACCAACTTCTGTAGAGAACTTGCGGTATTTTCGGCTGATGTTTCCTCGTACAATTCTGATGATCAATGTGCCGTGTTGGTTCTCTGAGTGGTCTGAAAATGTAGGTTCCCTCTCTTTAGAATGCTGCTACTCACTCCCATGTATTTCACATAGAGTATCATTTGATGACACATCATGATTCATGAAAACTGTGATTTGCTTTCACCAGTTGGCTTTCTCATCTTTCATATGCATAAGCAGCTTCTCGAGAGCCAAATGTATGTTTAGGCAATAAGGATGTGTCGTATCTCCTGATATAAACTCCAAAAACAAGCGAATTGCTCGCAATCGTGCTATATCCGACCTCTTTCTTGGTTTCGTTCTTCCTCATCATTCTTTTCACCACCAAGACATCATCCCATCTCTTATCTGGAGCATACAAGTTCCTCAGCAGAACATAGTTCCCATCATTCTAAGGCTCCAGTTCCAATGCCTCCTTCAGAATCCTCTCAGCCATTTATATATCTTTGTATTGACCACACGCAGACAAGAAAGAGTTTATAAGTATACGGTGTGGCTCAAAAGGCGTGTTTGTTATCAAATCCTCTGCTTCTTTTAGTTCCCCTGCTCTGCCTAGTAGATCAACCATACATCAATAGTGCTAAATCTTAGCAACCAGGCAAAACTCTTTTTCCATCATGTTGAACCATTTTCTTCTGTCCTCCACTAATCCACCATGGTTACAAGCTGAGAGAACCACAAGCACTGTAACCTCTTCCGGCTTTACTTCTTTAAGCATTGCCAAGAACAGATCCAAAGCGGCAATTGCATTCCAAGACGCGACTTCTTTCTCTGGCATCTCATCAAAGATCCTGCTCTATCTCTCCGCATTTTGAGTACATATCAAGAATCGCTGTACCCACTTTCACTTTCTTATGGAGCCTTTTCCTCTTCACAAAATGGTGACACCATTCACCGAGACTGAGAGCACATGTGTCACAAATAGCTGGTAGCACACTCATAATAGTCACATCATCCGGATCAAGCGAGGTGGCTGTCACATCTTATTGTTTACTCTGACAGCATATCAGTGACTACAGTTGTGCTTCTCAACTCATCAAACAATCTTTTGGGAGACGTCATGTCACCTGATTTGACATAACCCATCCATCATCGTGTTGCATATCACAACGTCCTTAGCTTCAGGCATCTCATCAAAGATCTCACTCACTACATCTAACTTCCCACACCTAGCATGCACACAAATTAGCTATCCAAGAAACCTCAGTTCGCTGAGGCATTTCATCAAAAATGCTACTTGTAAATCTCATCTTCCCGAATTTGGCGTACATATCAACGACTCCGGTCGAAAAATACATATCTGCACAAAACCCAAATCTCCAAATTTGGCCATGCAACTGTAAACCTTGGTAAACACACATACTCAAAATGCAGGACTTGGTCAACATCGTGAAAGTAAAATTGTTAGGAGCAAAACATGTCTCCTTCATAAGATCTCTGTAAAGAGCAAACGAGTCAGTACTGACGCGTTTTGAGAGAGGCCTTGATCATGGAGTTATAGACGAAACTGTCTTCTCTATGAGGCCTATGATCGGGCATAAATAACCCCAACAGCTGATGCGGAAGCGATCAAGAACTTGGTGAAGATCTGAACATTGTTCTCTATAGGGTGGCGGAGCATGAAAGCATGATGAAAATCTGCCGTGTCTCTGGATTTGCTGGAGAAGACTAAAGCATTTTCTCTTAGAAGGAAGCCGTGGCTGTATAGTTTCTCGCTCGTGTAGCATCATCATCTTCATCTTATTGCAACTACGAGCTCAATATTATGTTTGTGAATTCGTTGATCTTATTGATGTGAGGAAGTCTACATATATACCAGGAATACATAGGGAAATAAGGAAAGCTAAGATATAGGAATTAGGAAAGAGTAACTTACGCCTAACTATGAGCTGATTGATTGAGAAGATTAGCTTCTAACTATGTGCTATCTAATATATACTTTCTATAATTCCTATACACCCCCTGAAGATGGATGGCCAGAGGTAAGTCCTATATTGACAAACAGAATTTCAAAACATGCCCAAGATAATGGTTTGGTAAGGGCATATTCTAGTTGATCGTGTGTAGAAATATGAGAGACCCGCAGCTGCTCTGTTTGTATGTAGTGATGAAAAAGTGATAGTCTAATGCGATGCTTCATCCTTGAGTGAAATACTGGTTTAGCTGCTAATTATATAGCTCCGTTGTTATCAAAGTAGATGATAGGTGTTGTTGGTGACTTGATCCCAAGCTCAGAAAGTAAGGATTGTACCCATATAATTTCGGAAGTTGTGGAGGCAAGTGAGCGATACTCGGCTTCAGTGGAGGAGCGAGCAACACCTGTTTGTTTCTTTGAAGACCATGCTACAGGGTGGCGTCCGAGGTAGAAAATGTAAGCTCATGTTGATGTGTAATCGTCTTTATTGCCTGTCCAATCCGGATATGTGAAGGCATGTAGTGATGGTGTGTTGTTTGCAAGAAGTGTGATGCCTTTCGTCATAGTCCCTACAAGATAACGTAAGATACACTTGGCTGCATTCCAGTGGTCCGTTGTTGGTTTGTGCATGTATTGAGACATTTTGTTGACTGGAAAGGAGATATCTGGCCAAGTGAGTGAAAGGTATTGGAGACTTCCAACGACGGCTCTGTATTTTGTCGGATCATCTAAATCAGTTCCAAAAAACAGAGTCAGTCCTGTATTCAGACACATTGGGGTGCACACTAGTTTGCACGTTTCCATCTTCGCCTAATGCAACAGATCTGAAATATATCGAGTTTGAGTTAGATGTAAACTCATATGATTCGATGATCCTCTATTCCTAGAAAAAATGATAGATCCTCCAAATATTTTAGTGAAAAATGTTTTGAAAGCAAAGCAATAAACTGATTTGTATGACTCAAATTATTTTCTGTGATTATTAAATCATCAACATAAACAAGCATATAGATGAGAACTCTCTATTTATTATATGAAAAGTGACGCGTCGGCTAGAGAATTAGTGAAGCCCGATTATAGAAGAAAATATGCGCAGATCGTTGTACCAAGCCCTTGGGGCTCGTTTTAAACCATAAATGACCTTGCATAGTTGACAAACGACATTGGGATTGTCTGGATCAATGAATCCTGGTGGTTGGCGCATGTAGACTTGATCTTGTAGAGTTCCTTGAAGAAAGGCATTATTGACATCTAGTTGTCGGAGTGGCCAGTTATGAGATACGGCTGTACTAAGAACGATCCAAATCATTGCTGGTTTGCGATCCAAATCGTTGCTGGTTTACCACTGGACTGAACATATCATGATAGTCTATGTCTGGGCGTTGACTGAAATCCTTGGCAACAAGACGAGCTTTGTATTTTGCTATTGATCCTTCGAGATGCTGCTTGATGCTGAAGATCCATTTGCAGCCTGCAACATTAAAATGAGAGTCGTTAGGTAAGTTCTATCTATGGTTTACCTGAGCATTGTATTCTTCACTCATGACTTTGCGCCAATAAGGGCTCTTGAGAGCTTGAGCCACTGTCATTTATAGAATTTCAGTATTTTGAGTAACCGTCATGTGAAGATTCATTTTAATCACTTTTTTCTTTTCACGTATGCTATGTCGTGTTGGTTGAAGTGGAGGTTTTGTAAGTGGCAGAGCCACTAGTGCAGCAATGATGGATCCATCGGAGCTGGCGGGGAGTTTGTTGAATTTGATGTCGTTGGTTGAGATGATGATGATGCTTATGTTGGCGAGAGACTTGGAGACAATGTAGCACTGGTTGAGCAGAAGAAATTATATGAGGCATCAGATCAGCTGGTGGAGTAACTATTACCGGAGAAGGTGTAATTGATGGCAAAACCGTAGCACATGAATGAGATGCATGCCCAGGTTCTACAGATGTTTGCGATGTAAGGTTTGTATGAATAGAAAACAGAAAATCTGTTTCATGAAAAAGAACATGATGTGAGGTATAAATTCTTGGAGTGTTACGATCTAAGAAAAAATAGACACTTTGTGTAATGGAGTATCCGAGGAACACACGATGTCAATCTAGCATCCAATTTATGAGATGCATATGGACGAGTCCATGGAAAACACAAACACCCAAATATTTCTGAAAAGACATTGAAAGAGTGATTTGGAATAAAGAATCGAAGTTGGCATCCTATAAATGAGATATACAGCCATCGCAAACGCACAAGTCTAATAAGGCCTTGGCATAGACACATGAGAAAGAACGGCAAGGTCTGTTTCTACAATATGCTGATGACGACGTTCTACGATGCCATTATGTTTGGGCATATGCGGTGGACTTTTCATATGAAAAATGCCATGGCACGACAAAAAATCACGTAAACCAATGTTTATTACCTCTATTATCGGTGTATAAGGTGTGAAGTTTGGTTTGAAATTTATTTTCAACCAAAGCTTTGAACCGTGTGAATGTGTCAAATACTTGAGATTTTAATTTCAAGAGATACAACCAAGTGTATCTAGTAAAATGATTGACAAAACATAATATTTGAAACCATCGATATAAATAATAGGAGATGTCAACACATCTGAAAACACAATCTCAAGTGATTGAATCGATGGAAGAGTGGAGTTTTAAAAAGGTAACTTATCCATTTTATAAATAGGGCAAGCAGTGCAAGGATGAGCCAATACATCATTTGAAACTGTAGGTAATTGAAACTGAGAAATTTGAAGCTGAGGATTTTGGCCATTGGTATGTCCCGTCTCTAGGTTTCCCTTCTAGACGCAGAGTTCCCGTCTCCAAGTCTCTCACCTGAAAGTATGTTCGAGTGAAAGTAACGGAGACCCCATTAGCAGTGCATGATTGAAACACTGAAATCAAATTTTTGTCAAGAGCAGGAACACATAACACATTATTTAAGAAAAATGGACGATTGTAAGAGGGAAGAGATAATGAACCAGAGGGAGATAAGTGTAATCCAGAACCATTCCCAAGCAGAACATTGTCTCCACCACTATAAGGATTGTGGAGTGAGAGATTTTCTAATTCCGAGGTCATATGGTGAGAGGCTTCGGAATCTAGAAGCCACGTTGAAGAGTCTGACATCATGGCAGGATTTGCAGTTGGTTTCCACGGCTAATATTGAGGCAATGCATTCCAATTGTTGTGACGTGGTGGAGAAGGAATTGGTGTGGAAGAAGCAGATTCTTCGACAATCCGATATTTAGGACAATATTTAGCACTATGGCCCTGAGTACCGCAGGCTTGACAACAGTCCAAGTAAGATTTCAAGAAATGCTGCTGGTTATTGTTTTGGTTGTGGTGATTTGAGCTTTGCTGAGAATGGTTGTTGTTGTTTCTCCATTGTTGACGTGATCTTGATTCAGTGGCATGAGCAACAATTGGAGTGATTGTGTATGGTGAATTGCACATGATCATGGTTTCTTGGTTAATGAGCCACTCATAAAGTTCGGAATAGTAGATGGGGAGATCACGTTCATTAATGGCATCGATTTCAGGCTTATAATCTTCACTAGGGCCGGCAAGGATTTGCTCCGTGAGATCTTCGAAATCTATCAGTTTTCATAGAAGAGCAAGATCATCAGCTTTGGATTTGATAGATCGAAGGTAGTCAATGATCGTCTATGTGTGCCTTTGATGCACTGTTTGATTTAAAACTTGATTTGTCAGATGTGACCACGAGAGGGACTGCCGAAGGCAGTAGCTAAAATCTATTAAATAATAAAAAAATAATTTATTTTTATATAATCCTTATGTATATTTAGTATTTAAAATAAATTTTATAGTAATCTTCTTTTCTTAAAAGTTAATATTCTTATGATTATAATTTTTGTGGGTTAATCTAAATATGCTTTTACATTAGTATTAGAAATATTAAAGCCGATTATAAAATTTTAAAATCAAATTTTATTTTTACAATTTTAATACTCTCTATTTCAAAATATAAGTTATTTTGTATTAAAGCACAAAGATTAAAAAGCAACTTTTCTTATAAAAAATTAATCATTTAGTATATAAATTAAATATAATTCAACTAATTATAAAAAATTGAAAAATATAATCAGTCACATAGTATTCATTGGAAGTAGTAAAAAATATAAAAAACAACTATATTGTAAAACAAAACAAAACCTTAAAAAAAATTAATATTATGAAACAGAGGAAATAGTAAATTTTTTTATTAGATACTTAATAATTTAATCAAAATATACTCCCTCTATTTTTTTTTTAATTTTAAGATCATGTTATTAATCATAGGTTATAGAAAGTATAAAGAGGGACTTCTTATTTCTATCCAGATTGTGAATATATATTTAATTTTAAACTAATTTACATTAGAATTAAATTACCCTAAAATTCATAACATAAATAAAAAAAACATTTTGTCAATATTACAGCATAATGTTATAAAAAACTCATATAAAATCAATTGTATTTTTTATATAATTTTAAAATTATACTATATTAAATAAATAATAATTATTTCACTCTACACATAAGGCGGGTTATTACCTAGTAT